TCTCTCTCTCTCTGGTACAAAAATGTATACCGTGCGTCAGTGCACCTGCGACCTTGGTTCCCTCATAGTATTATGTATTATGTTGCGAATCGTTGCCACGGCTTCTTGAAACCTAGTGTTATGGTGTTGAAGACCAGAAGGCCCAGATTGTGACCCGCGGACACACCGTAGAGCTGCTTTGATCGATATCTTGAAATAGAAAAGTTATTTGCTTTCACAACACACTCTACGACCGACCACACACACGCACACACACACACACACACACACACACACACACACACACACACACACACACGCACACACACACGCACACACACCGCGCGCGAACATACACCCGCTCACTCATTCACTCACTCACTCACTCACACTCGCGCGTGCGCGCACATGCACACACACATGATGCTTTTTCAATGGTTTTTTTTTCTTTTTTAGCGTAGAGGTAACGGAAAGGAAAAAGAATCGAGGGCTTTTGAGGTTTTTAAAATTTTATTTTCCCCGTCTTTATTTTACTGCTTCCTTTGTCTCATTCACCCGTTTTAATATGTGGGATTTGTCGTAGTCATATGTCTCAACGGTCTATGTGCGTGTACAAATGCTCACGCGTGTGCATAGGCACGTTTGTTTGCTTTTTAGATAGAGGATTTAAAAAGACGTTTACAGAGGAGAAAAAAATGCGTTATTAGTAACGTCACTGTGACCTATTTCCGGGATAGTGTGTGACGTCTGATTTGACTAGATCTAGTCATTGTGTACACCCAAGGGAATAAAGCGACAACAGCAGTACCAACACATTGGACAGCTATTTCGATTTATTTTTTTTATGTCGAGCCAAGGTTCTCGCACTTTTCTTTTTAGAAAGTTCACCTTAGGTGCTTTCACTTGTGGCGACCTCAGCCGCCTGCACTATTGACGCACACTCACATTGACACGGTTAACGAAAAGGACTCGTGCTTATCTTTAACTTATAGAAACTGTTTGTGGCCCAAAAAAAAACTGATCGATTTCTTTGAAGTATTTTATCTTTATTCTTCTTCTTTCTCTTGGTTCGGAGGGCAATATTCTCCACAAGTGAAAAGGAGACAGGGTTTTTTAACTTTTATCGTAGATCTATGCCTTTTGTACTGTGCTCCTTTTCCTGCTCGATGCGATATGACAAGTGTCTGCGTTCTTCTTTTGATTTCAGAGTACAATTTTGTACGCATGACTGCCACACTACTACCCTCTAGGGTCTGTTAAGATTTGCGATGCCGTCCCGCTGTTTTATTCCCCGAGACTTGTTCTGCCAGGACATAAACCCCGACTTCTTTACTCCCGTCCCTGACGTGACTAATCGTGTAGTGCGAATCGTATAATTTAAATTAAATTCTTTTCCCTAACACATCTAACGCTCCTCGTGTGTTTATTGCGAATAGTATTTGTATTTTTCCGTTAAGGTTACCACCTGACTGACCGCTTTTGCCTCCACCATCTGTTGTGCGGATTGTTGTCAACAACAAAGTCAACCCCCAGCTGGGCATCCACCTTTTGTTTTCCCTTTGTTGGAAACTTTATAGAATGTTGAAGCAGCCTTGTTATCGTTTCATCTCCGACTCTCTCTCTCTCTCTCT